ATGCTCTTTACTGTATTACTTTTCTCTGAAATTACATCTCAGATGCCAAGCATTATAATACATTCTGGAATGACAAAGCACCTTCACCCACACAGATGAGGGCAATGTATAGTGAAAGACATAAGTGTAATTAGAATGATAATAGAAATGTGCTGAGAGTGCTGTGAAAACACTTCCTTTTCAAAGTCAGGAGGTCAGATGATGACTGATCTATACCTTTAAAAATTGTTATCGTTAGAAGTAATTCTTTTCTGCATTATTTTCTCTGTCATATAAAATAAATACTTGTGACTGGGTGGGCGCACGGTGGCTTATGCCTGTAATCTTTGGGAGGCCAAAGCGAGAGGATTGCCTGAGCCCACGGGTTCAAGACCAGCCTGGGCAACTTGGTGAGACCTCATCTGAACAATAAATCAAAAAATTAGCCAGGCATAGTGGCATGCGCCTGTAGTTCCAGCTACTTGGAAGACTGAGGCGGAAGGATCGCCTGAGCCCAGCAGGTCGAGGCTGCGGTGGCTGTGAGCATGCCACTGCACTCCAGCCTGGTCGACAGAGTGAGACTCCAAAAACAACAACAACAGCAACAGAATAAAGACTTGATCTCTAGAACTATGGAAAATGGAAAAAAGAGACCATAACATCACCTGAAACTCATTTCTGGCAGAGTTCTGGGTTTGACTTGATGTCATTCATGTTAAAAAAAAAAAAGAGAGAAAGAGAGTGACTAAAAAACTAACTTAAAAAATCAGTGAGATCTTGAATAAGTCTCTGGTTTTGTTCTGTTTTGCCTCAGTTCAGTCTTTTCTGACTTGTTTTGTATTACCTACGGTGAAAGGGTAAGCAGTCAGGATTCATAGAAATGCTAGCATTAACTATAGGTTCACAACAACTCAGGTTTTCTTTCTAAATGTTTCTTCAGTGTTATTTCATGTATTCTCTTTCTTCAGGGGGTTGTGGACACTTCACAACTGGGACTTTTGTCACTAGAGAAGTAGTCTTCTTCTCTTAGTTACTCAGCGAAAATGTCTTCCACTAAATATAAAATACACATATAGTAAACGTATAAGAATGTATGTCTTCCAACTATATACTTAAATGAGTACATGTTTTTGTATGTGAATTGCACACCAATAAAATTGATGCAAAGACATGCATCTATTCCAAGTGAAAAACCCGGACATGCAAGCCTCTGGGACTAAGGAGGGGACCCTTGTGAGGGTGTTTGTAAAGATCAAAATGATCTCCTATGAACCTCCTGATGGCACTTACAGGGTTACAGTATATATACTCTCAGATTATTCTAGAGACTGGGGTCTCACTCTGTCACCCAGGCTGGAGTGCAGTGACACAATTATAACTCACTGCAGCCTTGAACCCCTGGGATCAAGCCATCCTACTGCCTCAGCCTCCTGAGTAGCTGGAATCACAGGCATTGCACCCAGCTTCCCTGACTATTCTTAACAGTAGCAAATAACATAGTATTCCCTCAGTGAAATTCTATATTGTGTTAGCCCTTAGAGTTGTGTGATAATATTCAGGCTAATGTGTAAGTATTTGTGATAGTCATGTATATATTCAAACATACACATATGTTTGTATACATGCATAGCATGTAGTCACGTGGGTAATATGCACCGTTGGTATACATGTTTTTATAATTATATATTTTTGTTTTAAACTCCACACCAATAAAATCAAGGAGAAACATAGCTGTTTCTAAATTTAAATTGTCAAATTATTTTGACTATGTGACTCTGAGTTCTTTCTTTATTTCTTTATTAATTTTTTAGCTGGAGTGTCATTCTGCTGCTCAGGCTGGAGTGCAGTGGCATGCTCACGGCCCCTGCAGCCTCAACCTGCTGGGCTCAGGCGATCCGTCTGCCTCAGCCTTCCAAGTTGCTGGAACTATAGATGCACGCCACTATGCCTAGCTAATTTTTTGTGATTTATTGTAGAGATGATGTCCCATCAAGTTGGCCAGGCTGGTCTCGAACCTCCAGGCTCTTGCCTCAGCCTCCCAAAGTGCTGGGATTACAGACTGAGCCACCGTGTCCGGCCAGGATTCTTATATAAAGTGCTTCTGATTTAGTGTTTTTTGTGAAAAGGGGTTTGTTTTTATTAAAAGAGCTGGCACATTTAAAATAGTTTAAGTTTAGTTTCAATATTTTCTGGAAGCTCTGGGAATCTTCATCTAAGTAATGCTCATTAGTCTCTGTAAGCCATTCAGAAATAATTTTTTTATTTTATGAGACTTTCATCTTAATATACTCTGAAGATAGGAAAATATTTCATAATCAGAATGAGAGGTAAGGGTTTTTCTCGATTATAGGTATACAGAGACCGTTGAGCTTCTATCCTCCAACTGTAGCTATGTGTTAAATGTAGACCAAGAAATGCAGAAGACCACCAGATAGTTAATGTCAAAGAGCTGTTCTTTCTATTGGACCCAAGACATGTTTATGGAAAAAAACACAAACAGGCAAACAAAAGGACTAACAATAACATTTTCTGTTATCTGTCAGCCAATAGAGAGACCAGTATAGAATAGATTTTCATCCTAACAAATATCACTAATGGTCAGACCATAAAACCAAACTCCAGTTATTGGTGCTACTGATGGGGATAGTTTTCAGTCCAAGTACATATCAGAAGCAAAATTGGCCTAGTATCAGAAACAAAAACATACAATTGAAAAGAAAAAAAAAAAGAAAACAGAAAACTGTCTAAAACGCAAAGTTCTGTTGCCACTTGGAATTTGCTGTGGGAGCCAAAAAATCATGTAAATGGGCTTAAATAGCTTATGAATTGCATATCTGAGGCCTCGCAGTTTAATCGGTTCTGGTAGGTGAGTCTGCTGAAGCATCTCAGTGGGGCCTCCAAAACTGTTCAAAGTATAATTTAAGAAAAAACAAAAATGTGACAAAATTATGCAAAATGTGCAGGTGCCAGGTATTTATTTAACCCATTAGCAAGATGGTAAGCCTGGTTCAGAGAGAATTGAAGAGAGTGAAGTATTTATAATTGCTGAGAGAAAGAATGCTTAAGATTCAAACGTAGATAGCAAAACTGGTTAATGTCTTACAGGGCCATAAAACCGTAACCTTTGAAGTTATCTGTCTTAGAGGACCAAAACCATTTGCATTTCTACCAGACAAAATTAATATGCAATGCCACTGAACAAGAATCATTTGCATCACTGTCGTTTTTTCAAAAAGTTAACACATCAAAGAACCCAAACAGCATGAGTGACAATCAGTTGTTTAGTCATTCAGCAAATTATTAAGGAAGCCCTAATTTGTGCCAGGGACTGGTGTCAGAGTTGAGGATACTATGGAGTCTGTTTGGTTTTCTTCCCTCATAGTGGTCATAATCACCTGGCCTAGTGATATATCCTTGCTCCAGCCACCTTTGCCCCAGGGAGAGCCTGGCTCTCTGCACACCATCCTCTCATATGCAGCAAGTAGAATGATGCCCCAGGTATCTGGCAATCCACATTCAAGCTATAGAAAAACCAGGACACACTTAGTCTGTATTTGTTTCGAGAGTATTGGTTGAAGCTAGTGAAATTAATCATGTGTGCATTTTCCCCTCAAATATAAAAGCAGTCTATTAAAGAGAATTCATATCTCAATATTATTTTAAAATCCGGCTGTCTTCTGAGTATTGTCTTTGTTATAGAATAGCCTAGTTCCGAGGAAAAGACTGACTGAAAAGAATTCATCTGCCTTTACTCTTCATTTTACTCTCTTTTAAGTTTTTTTTCAGCTTAAAAGAATTAAAAAGACACAGTGATCACGTTTCTGTATTGCCCTATTGCTTAATACACATTTCGCATTTGCTATTTTCTCTTTGATCACTCTTGCATTTTATTGATTTTTGGATTTGCTAAATATCCAAAAATACTGCATCAGTTAGACATTATCTTAAGTAAACATGGGTGTATGTTTTCTTTTATGACTTTCAAATAATGGTTTTTGTTTTGGAGGAATTTATTACCCGCCTGCTTTCTGTAATGGCCCAGTCATTGACCACTTACTGAATTGTATCCTGCCATTAGTGGTTTTATCATATAAAGCGTAATTGAATGTACTTTATTGAAGTCCTGTAGCATAATCCAGTTATTCTGGTTTTTGTGTTGAGCTTGGCCATATCTGCTCCTCGTCTTTTTAGCAGCTTGAGTCTCTCCATAAAGTTTGGGATGTTTTATTTTTCCCATCGTTCAAGAAAATGTCTTCATTCTGTGAAGGTAATCCGATCATAGTTTTATTCTACTTTAATTGTGGGTAGGAACCAAATATTGTTGTGCTGTATCATTTGGCATGCAGATGGAATGCATACTTATGCAGATATAATTATTCATCACAAGGATTTATCTTTTTTGAGATGTTAAAATGTATGTTGGCCATCTACAAATTATGGATGAATGCCTTTTTAGTGAGAAAGTCTTGGTATTTCATTTTAAGCATTTTTTAGAGAATGAAATCTGTGACTTCTACTATTGAAGAAAATGTTTAAATAATTGTAGGATTAATAACTTGAGTAGTTTTTACTTTCAGGTTTATTTTAGAAATGTCTTTCATTTGAATCATTTGGTTAATAACAAAAAATTAAGATTTCACAGTATAAGAAAAAAATCTATGTGTGTGTGTGTATATGTGTGTGTGCGTGTATATATATATACACGCGCACACACACACACATATATATATATAAAACTGACTTTCTCACTCTGGAAAGGAATGCCTTCTTCTAGGTAGGTCAACAGTCTTAAAAGCTGTGCTTTTGAATTCCTGGTTTTCTGCATTCATTTGTTTATATCACAGAGTCACTTTTATATAATAGTTTAAACATAAGAGAATAAATTGTGTTTTTTTCACAATCCTGATGATATGATGGAAGTTGGGGACCGTCCAGATATTTCCAGACCATCTTTTTAAGCTTTCTGTCACTGACGAAGAAGATTGTACTAAACCCATTTTTCTCACATTTTGCATCTTCAGCGACAAGGAACCGCTCCCCCTCCAGTGAAACTGCCTCCTCCATATAAAGCTCCTTCTGATGGTAGTGAGGAAAACGAAGAAGAATGTGCATTTACTGACGGTGAGTTCCTGCTCCCTGCTCAGGGGACTGCAGAATTGACTAGATTATGCTCCAGTGACTGTGGTAAATTTTCAAATATAGGGGTCTGGGTTCTTCATGAACATATACTAAAAAAAAAAATTGATATCTTTGAAATCTTTGTGTCTTTATTTCCTAAGCTTTGCTTTTTGACATCAATAGATGAAATGTTGAAGGAAGCTGTGTTGGACACTATTTCTTCTATAATCCTTCCTTATCTTACTTTTTCATTGTGAATACAAAAATGCTAACAAGTCTTTGACTGTATTGGCCTGTAATAATCTGAGCAGGACAGAGATGTCAGTTCTTGGTTTCTTGCCTTCCTCCAAGTGATGGTAGTGTTGCTGATGCAAAATTCCACCGAGGAAGGAAGGCCACCAAGGCACACTTTATCCTTTGGACTCATTTCACAATTTTCTTTTGCATTCGTTGAATCAAATGCATGTTCATACATATATTTAATGGAGGCTTTATTTAAAAGTATTTGCATTTCTTTTATGTGTATACTGTGTGTATGGTTAGAACTGATTCCTAATGTGTATGGAATTTCTTTGGGGATTACAAAAATGTTCTAAAATTAGATAGTAATGATGGTTGTACAATTTGTGAATATACTAGAAGCCACTTAATTATGCATTTTAAATGAGTGAATTTTATGGTGTGTGAAACATATACATGTGTTTATATATGTTGTAAAGATATATATATAAAATATATAATATATAGCTCTTTAAAAGACCTTTTTCTTCTGCAGCATAGAAAAGGAATTTGGTGTAGAAGTTGAAAGTTAAAATTCTGGGTCCTGTACTTTCTAGAGTGTGACCTTAAGAATGCCCTCTTCTATAAAATGGGTATAACAATGATACCTGCTTCATAGCGTTTTGGTGAGGCTTGAACTACCGTTATTAATAACTCTAGCCTGACACATAGTCTTCAGCAAGATTTATAGCTCTTCTTGATGTTAATAATAATAATAATTATTGACCTTATTTTTCTAAATATAATAATAAATAACTAGAAATAAAATAAAAAAATTAAAACGGCTGGGCTCAGTAACTCAGCCTGTCATCCCAACACTTTGGGAGGCCGAGGCGATTGGATTGCCTGAGCCCATGGGGCAATTTGGCAAGACCTTGTCTCTACAATAAAAATTTTTTAAAAATTAGCTGGGTGTAGTAGTACACCTGTACTTCCAGCTACTTGGACGCTTGAGATAGACCGATCACCGGAGCCCAGCGGGTCAGCACTGGGGTGGCCCTGAGTGTGCCACTGCATTCCAACCTGGGCAATGGAGTAAGACTCCGACTCAAAAAAAAAAAAAGTTCCAACTGCTTGGAAGGCTGAGGTAGAAGGATAGCCTGAGCCTAGCAGGTCGAGTTGCAGTGGCCATGTATCATTGCCCTCCAGCTTTCCGACAAGAGTGAAACTTCCACTCAAAAAAATAAAATAAAATAAATAAAAATAAAACTAATTCTATAATAATTAAATCATCTATCAAAATTTGATTGGCACTTTGCGATTTTACAGAGTCCTTTTTCATGTGCTATTTTCTTTTCTTTTCTTTTCTTTTTTTTTGAGTCAGAGTCTCACTGTCACCCAGGCTGGAGTGCAATGGCACCCTCATGGCCACCGCAGCCTCCACCTGCTGGGCTCAGGTGATCCTTCCGCCTCAGCCTTCCAAGTAACTGGAACCACAGGCATGTGCCACCGTGCCCGACTAATTTTTTTGACTTATTGTAGAGACGAGGTCGTGCCATGTTGCTCAGGCTGGTCTCGAACCCCTTAGTTCAGACAATCCTCTCGCCTTCGCCTCCCAAAGCATATTTTCTTTATTCAGTAAATTTTTTCTGACCATCACTGACCATCATCTGCTAGAAAAGGAATGAAACAGAGCTTCTTTTCTTTGTGGTGGGGTCACCAGCCTGGAAGGGAGAAATCAGAGGCATGGGAAAAAATTTGAGACGTATCCTGTAGGGCTTTGGTTCTCACCCACTTTTTGGCGAGCTGCGCATGACGGGTCCAGTAGACATGGATATGTGCGTGCCATACGCTCCCTCTTTCAGCTGCTGGTCCATGGAGGTAGGTTGTCGATTATTCTTTTTTTTAATTTTTAATTTTAAAGATGTGGGGTACAATTCAAGATTAGGTATACAGATGTTCATTATGTAGGTACTCTTGTTGATTACTCTTAATTTCTGGGATGCTTGAGGACCAGTATTTGCCTAATTATTAGGAAACTGGATTCAGGTGTGCAACTAAGATGACATTCTGATCCTGGTTCTCCTACTTCTAGTTGTGAGTTCTTGGACAAGTTATTTAACCTCTTCATGGATCACCCTAAGGGTTGATGGGATATCTCATTGTAGCCTGCCTTACAGGGTTGTGTGGCAGAGGTGAGAAAGCACTCGAAGAGTTTAGTGTAAGAATTATGAACTAGCCGGGCATGGTGGTTCAAGCCTGTAATCCCAGCACTTTGGGAGGCTGAGATGAGAAGATTGCCAGAGCCCACAGGTTGGCTCTGAACAACCTGGACAGAACAGCCTGGGCAACTTGGCAAGACCTCATCTCTACAATACATCAAAAAATTATCTGGAGGCCGGGCTCAGTGGCTCATACTGTAATCCCAGTGCTTTGGGAGGCCGAGGTGAGTGAATTCCCTGAACTCGCAGGTTCAAGACCACCCGGGCAACTTGGTAAGACCTCTTCTCTACAATAAATAAAAAATTAGCCGGGCGTGGTAGCGCACGCACCTCCAGTTCCAGCTACTTGGAAGGCTGAGGTAGGAGGATTGCCAGAGCCCAGCAGTTCGACCCTGGGGTGACCGGGAGCATGCCACTGCACTCTAGTCTGGGCGACAGAGTGAGACTCCGACTCAAAAAAAAAATTAGCTGGGTATGGTGGCATATACCTGTGGTTTCAGCTGCTTGGAAGTCTCAGTCAAAAGGATCATCTGAGCCCAGCAGTTCTAGGCTGCGATCGCTGTGAGCTATCACTGCACTCCAGCCTGGGTGACAGAGTAAGACTCAAACTCAAAAAAAAAAAAAAAAAAGGCTGGGCACAGTGGCTCAGCCTGTAATCCTAGCACTTTGGGAGGCAGAGGCGAGAGGATTGTCTGAGCCTGAGGGTTCGAAACCAGCTTGGGCAACTTGGTGAGACCTTTTCTCTACAATAAATCACAGAAATTAGCTGGGCGAGGTGGCGTGCACCTGTAGTTCCTGCTACTTGGAAGGCTGAGGTGGAAAGATCGCCTAAGCCCAGCAGAGGCTGCGGTAGTCGTGAGTGTGCCACTACGCTCCAGCCTGGGCAAGAGTGAGACTAACTCAAAAAAAAAAAAGCTTGTTAAAACATGATTTGGTAGGCCCTACCCACTATTTCTGATTCCTTATGTCTGGGCAAATCCAATAATTTGCATGTCTAATTAATTTCCAGGTGATACTTGTGAACCAAGACCCACACTTTGAAAATCACTGATCTAGATGGTGTTTAAAGTCATGGGAGCCAATGCTTGGAATAGTGTATACAGAGCAACAAGAAGCAAACTCAGCACTCTGCTCATGAGCCAGCAAAGGAGCATTTTAGCATAATGACACTTCCAGGAAACTGTGGAATTATGTAGTTTGTGAGGACAAAGTGTCCCAAGAGGCCTTCTGTCACTGGCCCCTTGGTGGTCAACTGTGGAATGCTACTGAGAGGTTGGAGATGTAGAAATAGCCATTGAAATTAGCAAGATGGAATTGATGAGGAATAAGAGAAAGAGAGCCGGGTACAGTGACTCATGCCTGTCATCCCAACATTTTGGGAGGCCAAGGTGGGAAGATTGCTCGAGACCAACCTGGGCAATGTAGTGGATTTTTCTCTACCAAAAAAAATTTAAATAAAGTTGAGGAAGAGGACATTTGATAAAATAACCATAGTCATTATCTTTCAGTTTATTGTAAGATTTAAATGTTACAACCAAATATCGAGTATGATATATAATAGGCATTTAGATTTTAGATCACTTACTTTGCATAGCTGAACAAATTTCGTGACATCTTGGTGTCTGATTACCATAAGAAGTCTTATATCCATCAATTGAACTAAAGTTGTTTGACTTGTAAGAATTATGAAATGATTGAGAATTAAGAAATAATATACTGACAGCATCATGCTTATTAGCTCTTGACAAAAGTACCATATCAAAGGTTGCAGGATTTGTCAAAGGTGTGTGTTGATGGTACAGGAACTTTTGACCAACTTTGTGGTGATAGCCTTTAATACCTAAATTTAAAACCAGATTGTTTGGTCAAAGATTCAAGGACACTGAGGGCTTGAAGAGATCACTCGTTCTCTATCACATGGTGACTGTGAAGTCTTTGTTTCTAACTTTAATCCCCCTCTGATCTCCTGACCCAGATTTTCAGTTGACTCTTGGGAAGCTGCCATGTCTTTTTTCCACTAACGCTTTAAATCCTCTCTAGAGTAAAATGTATATCTTCCCCAAGGCTGGCCTTTTACCTCCCATTCTTGGTTTTGGCTAAAGGTGCCCCATCTCAGAATGAAACTTGGCTTCTGTGTGTTGTTGCCCCTCCTGACAATGGATCAACAAATAGGGCTGAACCTTCTTTCTCAGTCTCTCTCACCTTTGTAGTTTCCCTGACCTTTTTTTTCTTTGAGTCTCACTCTGTCACCCAGGCTGGGGGGCAGTGACACGCTCATGGCCACTGCAGCCTCGACTTGCTGGGCTCAGGCAGTCCTTCCACCTCAGTCTTCCGAGCAACTGAAACTACAGGTGCGTGCTACCACAGCCAGCTTATTTTTTAATTTATTGTAGAGACGAGGTCTCACCAAGTTGCCCAGGATGGTCTCAAAGCCCTGAGCTCAGGCAATCCTCTCGTCTTGGCCTCTCAAAGTGCTGGGATTATAGGCCTGAGCCACTGCGCCAGCTCCCTGACATTTTTATTACCGCAATTTTGGTAATTATATGGTAATAATCACAATTC